CCGCTCTCAACCTCGGGCGCCGGGTGCTGGGGGGACGCGGGCGAGGGGGGGCGCCCATCCCAGCTCTCCGGCTCTGGAGCTGGCCCGGGCCGGGGGGGCTGGGGCGGGGGGGAGGGGGCAGGCGGCTCCGGGGGCTCCCTGGGGCTCTCCAGCTCCCGGGGGACGCGGGGGGGCCCCCCGGGCTCCGTCTGCTGCCCCCCCGGAGGCCGGGCGGGGCTGGGTGACAGGGCCGACTCGTAGGAGCCCACAGGGATGCTGGCGATGGCGGCCTTCACCTTCTGGGGGGGCTTTGGCGGGGGGCGCGGGGGCCGGGCGGGCGCTGGGGGGAAGGCGAGGGGGCCTGTGGGGGGAGAGAGACAGTCATGGGGGGCCGGGGGGGCCACAGGGACCCCCCACTCATACCCCGCAGCCCCACCCCCACCCCAAAGCTCCGGCTCCAGTTCCATACCCGTGAGGGTGGAGCCTACCCCGCCCCCCCCAGAACTCTGCCCCCAACCCATACCCATAAGAATCTGACCCTGCTCAGCCCCGCCCCTTCCATAGCCCCGCCCCCTGTTCCACAGCCATGTGGTTGGGGACCTGCTGAACTCCGCCTCCTGCTCTATGGTCCCACCCCCATTCTGTGTTTACTGCCCAGCCCCGCCCCCATTCTGTGGCCATGGGGGTGGGGCCCTGCCCAGCCCCGCCCAGCCCCATTCATACCCATGGGTCCAGGCCCCAGTGTGCCCTGGCTGCCGGCACTGCTGCCCTTGGGCAGGATGGGGGCCGGGGCGGGGCTGGCCACGCTGTAGACGAGACCGTGGGCGGGTGACGGGGCGGGGCCGGCGCTCGGGGGGCCGGGGTAGATGGCCGTGATCACCGGGCCGCTGCAGGAGGGGGGCAGCTGGGGGCTGGGCAGTGGGGAAACCCCCACCTGCCCCGGGGCCAGCAGGGGGCTCTGCCCTGGGGAGAGAAACACCAAGGGTGAGACGGACGGACGGAGCCGCCCTTGACCCCGTCCGGTGCCATCCCCTCCCCCCCCCGCTCCCCTGCCCCCATCCAGCGCCGTCCCTCCCCACCCGCTCCCCTGCCCCCATCCAGTACAGTCCCGCTCCCCTGCCCCAGCCCCCTGCCCCCATCCAGCACCATCCCCACCTCAGACCCCCAACTCTGTCCCTGTCTAGCACCAGCCCTCTGGCACCAGCCCCCCGGCTCCAGCCCTGATCCAGCCCCCTGCCACCATCCGCTGCCAGCCCGTGCCCCCAAACCAGCCCCCCGCCTGGCACCAGCCCCACGCAGGTCACCCGACCCAGTCCCAGCCCTCCCCCCACGTCCCCGACCCAGCTCTCTGCCCCTCCCTAGTACCGACACCCCAGCGCCAGCCCCGCCAAACACTTGGGGAGAGCAGGGGTCTGGATCGAGTGCATCACCCCCCATTCACAGCCCCCCCTTACCCGAGAGCAGCGGCTGCACAATGGCCGGCCCGCTGGGCCCGATGGCCGTGAAGCCCAGGGCCATGGGGGCCGGCCCCACAGGGGCCTGCACATAGGTGGCGGCGCCAGGCTGCGAGGGGGAGGCCGAGGTGCCCAGGGTCAGCTGGTGCCCACCTGTGGACTGCACATAGGTGATCCTGGGCAGAGAGGGGGGAGCGTTACTGGCAGGCGGGGGGAACACGGAGCCTTGCCCCCCCACTGCCCCGGTGCCTACCTGGTGGAGGACGGCAGCAGCACCTTCTGGGCCTGGCTGTGGGGTCCCACGAGGGCCGTGGCGGGGCTCAGGGGGGGCGCCAAGGCGGCGCTGTTCGGCGCGGGGGTCAGCGGCGTCAGCTGGATGATCTGGGGGGCAGAGCAGGGGGGGTGGGGGGCCCCCCCCCCCCCCCCCCCCCCCCCCCCCAGCACAGACACGCACTCACCTTGCTGGCGGGCTGGGATCCGTTCTGGAGGGGCACCGGGAAGGGCGGCGCCACCTGGGCCATGGGGCCGGCCCCACCCCCGGGCCGCACCGTCACCTGGGGGGTTGCCACGGGCACTAACACCTTGCCCTGCACCAGTTGGGCTGAGCCTCCGGGGCCCGGGGCCTGCACCGGAGACGCTGACTGGGCTGGGGGGAGACGGGGGCGCATCAGGGCAGGGTGGGGGAGAGGGAGCCCCCGCCCCATCCCCCACGCACCAGCCAGCCCCCCGTCCCATTTCCCACCCCCCGAGCCAGCCAGCCCCCCGCTCCATCCCCCACACCAGCCCCCCCCCCCCCCCCTCGCCCACCCCAGCCAGCCCCCCGCCCCATTCCCCACGCACCAGCCAGCCCCCCGTCCAATCCCCCACCCCACACACCAGCCCCCCCTCCCATCCCCCTCCCCAGCCAGCCCCTGGGGCCAGCGCCCCCCACCTTTGGGTGCGGTGGAGACGACGGTGACGGCGGTGCTGGCACTGCCGGGCCCAGGCTGGAGGATGGGCAGGCCGTGGGGCGCGGTGGCAAGCACCTTGCTGCTGGTGGGGGGCAGGGTGAAGTGGATGCTGGCGGCTCCGGCCCCTGGCCCCTTGCCCCCGGCCACCTGCAGCTGCTGGGGCAGGGTGGGCAGGATGTACTGCACCTGGGTGATGCCCCCAGCCTTGCCTGGCGCCCCTGACAGGAGGCCCTGGGGCTGCAGGATGCCCAGGGGGACCGGCCCATTGGGCCCGACCCCCGGGGGGTTCTGGGTAATGAACTGCACCGAGGGCTGCGGCGGCAGCACGGTCACAGGGGCCGGCCCGGCCGCCGCGCCCCCTGCCTGCCCCACCAGCAGGTTGGTCACCACGTTGCCCGGGGCCACCGGGGCCTTGCCCATCGTCCCGACCACCAGGTGGTTGGATGGGGCCTGGCTGGCGGGGGGCGGGGGCTTCTTGTCGGCGTAGAGCAGGCCGATGCGACCCACGGGCACGGCCTCTGGCTTGGCACCCCCCAGCATGGCCAGGGGCGGCGGGGCCAGCTCCAGGGCTGGGGGGCTGAGCAGGGGCCTGCCCTCACCTGCCCCCCGAGGGAAGGGCTTGCTGGCGATGGGCACGGGGGTGCTGCTGACCGGCTTGACCACGTTGGTGACCACGGTGGAGGCGGTGCGTGCCAGGCCCGGCGCCCCGCCGTAGCTGCTGAGCGAGGGGGCCGGCACCAGCACCGTGCCCGCGGACAGGCGCCCCGGCTCCGGCAGCACCAGCGCCTGCAGCACCCCCCCGGGGGAGGAGATGACCGAGGGCCCAGCCGCGCCAGTCTCAGCCCCCCCGGCGCTGTCAGCCCGCTTCCGGCGGTAAGGGGGGGCCGGCTCAGGGCGCTTGGCTGGCGGGGGGCCAGGGGGCCGGGGCCCCCGTGAGTCCTGGGCCTTGAAGGGGCTGAGCGCCAGCGGGAAGGGGCTGTAGGGCTTGGCCAGGGGGAGCTGGTCGGGGCCGTGGGGCAGGTCCAGCTCGGTGGGGGCTGGCGGGCGGCAGGGGGCGAAGGCGCCCGAGGAGGGGGGCAGCGGCGGGGAGCGGATCACCGGGGAGAAGAGCTTCCGCCCAAAGCCCTGGGGGCAGAGAGAGACACAGGGGGGAGGTTAGGTACTGCCCCACATAGCTCCCCCCTCCCTGCCCCCCATCAACCCCCGCACAGCCCCACTGCCTCGCCCTGCCCCCATCAACCCCCACACAGCCCCACTGCCTCTCCCTGCCCCCCATAGCCCTTCCCTGCCCCCATGAAACCCCCATAGCCCCCCCCCCCCAGCCCCCCCGCCCTCACCTTGCCGTCGGGCTCCTCGCCCGAGGAGGTCTCGCTTTCGCTGTCCGTCACCCGCTCCTTGCACTTCAGGTCAATGTCGGGCGGGTTGAACCCGTCGTCCGCTGGGGGGCAGGAGGGGGCAGAGTCAGTGACGCCCGCAAGGCCCCCTCCTCACTGCCCGGATCCACCCCTCCCTGCAGAGCTGTGCCGGGAGGGACACAGCTGTGGGGTGTGCAGCCATACAGCGGGCCCACGGGGGGGCTAAGCGGGTTCTGGGGGGCAGTGGGGAGTCCGGGGGCTCTGGGCAGGCTCTGAGGAGTTCGGGGGGGCTCACCAATGACATCATCGTCCCCCTCCTCCTCGCAGATGACCATGCGCTCCTCGTCGCTCGTCATGTCCTCGCTGGCCACACGCTGGGAGCGGGCGGCGCGGGGGGCCGGCGGCAGCAGGGGGGGCCGGGGACTCTCACCTGGAGCTGCGAATGGGGACCCCGAGGGGCCCGGCCCCCCATACTGCCCCTTCCCACCGGGGTAGGGCGACGGGCCGGAACACATCTGCAACAGAGCGGGGAGCAATTGAGGGCTGGGACCTCTGCACCTCCTCCCAGCAGGGCCCCCCAACCCAGACCCAAGACCCTCTTCCCCATCAGGGGTCCCATCCCCCCCGCCCCCAGCACGGCCTCCCCACAGGGGACCCAATACACCCGCTCTGCACCCCCCCCAGACCCCAAGCCACCACGAGCCCCCAGCCCACCCTCCCAAACTCCCAGCCCCCCGGTACCTGCGTGAGCTCCTGCAGCGCCTGGCTGTCCCGCTCCCCGGCATCCAGCCCATGCACCCCGCTGTGGGAGAAGGCCCGGGGCCGCTGCGCCCCAGCCCCCGGCACGTGGATCAGCCGCTCCCCGGGCGCGTGCCCTGTGCCCCCTGCCTTGCTCTCTGGCCCCGCCAGCGCCGGGATCTCCGAGGAGGCTACGGGGAGAGAAGAGAGCGGCTGAGCGGGCTGTCGGGGGAGCCCCAAGGAGGGGGCGGGGGGAAGAGGGAAGGGGGGGTGGGTCTCACCTCCCAGCACGGCGGCCGTGCCCGTCTCTGACATGCTGCGCTCCCGCGCCTCCTTGGGGCCCCCCCCGGGCCCCGGCGCCGAGGGCTTGGCATCCGAGCTGGACTTCTTCCGGTCCTTGTTACACCACTTCCAGTCGGGGTGCGCCTTGAAGTGCGCCTCCTTCACCTACGCACGGACCAGGTTAGGGGGCGCCCCGCTGCCCCCCCGAGCCGCCCGCCCGCCAGATCCCCCGCTCCCCCTGCCCGAGTCCCTGGCCCCCGGGCCCCCCCCCCCCCACCTGCCGGACCGGGGCCCCCTGGCCCCCCCCCCCCCCCCCCGGCTGACCCCAATGCTGGGCCTCCGACTCCCTCGTTGACCCTCTCCACAACATGGCGCCCCCTGCAGCACAGCGCCCCCCGCTGACACCCCCGCCCCGCCCCGATGCCCGCACCTGGAAGGCCAGGTCATGGTACTTCTGCTTCTCCTTGGGCCCCAGCGCGTACCACCACTCGCCCAGGATCTTGCTGACGGTGCGGTTGTCCTGGTTCGGGTGCCGCTGGTGCACCAGAGCCCGGTGCCGCTTGCTGAAGATCATGAAGGCGTTCATGGGTCGCCGGATATGGTCCTTCTCCCGCTGCAAACGAGCAAAGCACCCACAGCCAATCACATCTCTCCTACTGGGAGACGGGGGGGGGTCTAGGGGAGGGGTCGCAGCCAATCATATCCCTCCCCCACGGAGGGGAGCCTATGGGGGTCCTCATGGAGTGTTCCATGTATTAAATAAAGGGGGGGTGAGTTCTCATGGCACATTCCATGTGGGGGATGAAGGGGGCTGGTGAGTTCTTGTGGAGCATTCCATTTGGGGGATGGAGGGGGAGTTACCATGGAGCGTTCCAGATGGAGGATGGGGGGGCGCATGAGGTCTTGAGGCGCGTTCCATGTGGGAATTAAAGGAGGGGTGAATTCTCGTGCTGCATTCCACATAGGGGATAATGCACTTGGCCTTGGGGAGGTGCAAGTCTCTCTGGACTGTTCCATGCACACAGCACTGCGGGGGGAACACTTGTCTCTGTACCATTCCATGCACAGGGATGGGGGGGAACAGGTCTCTCTGGACTGTTCCATGCACACGGCGTGGGGGAGGGACACTTGTCTCTGTACCATTCCATGCACAGGGATGGGGGGGAGCAGGTCTCTCTGGGCTGTTCCATGCACACGGTGGGGGGGGGGGCCGGTCTGGCTCACCTTGTTGGGGCTGCGCCCATCCTTCTCGGAGGAAGAGTCTCGGTCCTTGGGCAGGGCGCTCAGCGACTGCGTCCGGCGCTTCCCGGGCTGCAGAGGGAGCTGGATCTCGGGGGACACGATCGACAGGAACCTGCGCGGGCGGGCACCACTCTTGTAACCCTGCTGCACCTCGATCCCGGCACGTCCCTGACCCCTCCCCAACCTCCCCCCAGCCGGGTCCCTGCCCCAGATCCCCCCACATCCTGCCCCCGACCCTGCCCCTGCCTCCACCCCACAAGCCCCAATCCCCCAACCCATGTCCCCCTGCCGGCCCTGACCATGTGCCACAAACAACCCTCCTTACTCCCCCACCAGCCCCACGTCCCCCCATCCCCCTCGTACCAGCCCCATGTCCCCTCATCCCCCTCGTCCCCCCCGCCAGCCCCAGCCCCCCCGTGCCAGCCCCGTCCCCCCATCCTCCTCACACTAGCCCCATGTCCCCCAACCCCTCCCCCACTCACGGGTCATCGTGGTCGCTCTCTGTCTCGCTGTCCAGCCTTGGGGGCCCCGGGGCCTCGTCCTCGAGCTGGGAGGGGCCCTCTCCCCCTCCAGCCGCTGCCGTGGCCTGTGGGGCTGAGGCTGGACTGTCGGGGCGGGAAGCCCCCAGCTCAGCCCCTGACGCCACCCCCGGGAGGTCATGGGCAACGGCCGCTGATTCTGGAGGCTCTGGTGGGGGAAAAGATCAAGGGCGACGGCCCATGAGAATGCACCAGGCAGAGAGGGGCCATTTTTGTGGGTCACACTGAAATACAACAGTGCGAGCTCCCCCTGCTGGCTTCACTCCTTGCTTGCTGCGCGGGCACCATTTTGGTGGGTCACACACAAAAGCCAGCAGCTCCCCTGTGCTGGCAAGGAGCTGGCCAGGCTCACAGCCCCCCTGGCCCTCCCCAAGTGCCCCACATGGGGCTGTCCCATCCTCACCTTTGTTCTGATTGGACACCGCAGGGTGATTGACAGGCTGCTGGCCCTCGCTGGGCTGGACGGAGGAGTCTGGCTGGCTGGGGGCCAGGAAGGGCACAAGGGAGTGCCACGGGAACACGGCCACAGACCGCGGCTCCACGTTGGTCCAGACTGGAAGGGAGAGAGCAGGCAAAGGGTTAAACACACAGCCAGGACGCCTGGGTTCTCTCCCGGTTGGGGCGGGGGGCTGGGAGCCAGGACGCCTGGGTTCTCTCCCCCCGGGTCACTCTGCCCTGCACCGTACCCCAGTATTGGGGCTCCCTGGCCCCCCAGACTCCCAGCAACGACTCTGGAGTTTTCCTTTGCACCAGGATCCCTCCCCCCAACCTGGGGGTGAATGGGGGGAGGAGCCCCAGAGGTGCTGGTTGTAGGAGGGGAGGGCAGGTGTGGAGATGCTGCTTTGACCCACAACGGCTGCCAAGCCCAGGGATGTACGCGGGGAGGGGAGCCCCCCAGCACTGATCTGCCCAGCACTGAGCCAGCAGCCCCCCAGGGCTCCCCAGAGTAGGGCATCACCCCACGCCACTCCCTGGAGAGGGTAGCTCAGAGCGCAGGACAGGGAAAACACGCAGCACTGTGTGTGTGTCCCCCCGCTCCAGTCCCCACACATTTTGCAGCCCCAGCAGATCACCTCCCCCATTCCCACAGGGCCTCTCAGGCTGAGCAGCACTTCCAGGGGAGGAAGGGGGGGGCAGGGACACAACCACACACACAGCACCTGCGGCCCTGCCACACACCTCAGCACAGTGCAACACGCACAGCAACACACCACGGCCATGCACCACAGACACACACACAGTAGCACAACACAATGTCCTACAACCCATCACAGCCCTTACACACACAGATGCCCCAACACAATGCAGCTGGGCCATCCAACACACACAGAGCTGTACCACATCCTGCAACACACACACACACTGCAACGCTACACAGCCATGCAACATAACACAACGCACACCATCCTGTAGCGCAAAGCAGCTCCGCAAACACAAATACACCAGGACATCCTGTAACGCACCACGGCAACCCGAGTCCTACCCAACCTGCATCACACAAAGCACCGCCAGACACCCGAACGCAACAACCTCCGCACCCCACCAGCGAGACCCCAGGCTGCCCCCCACACCTGCCTGTTCAGGCCCCGGCCTGACCCCTGCCTGGCCCCAGCCCAGGCACCTACCTCAGGGCAGACCCCACATGGGCAGCCCGGACGGGCTCTGCAGCCCCAGCTATGTGGTGCCCTACACGCGAAGGTGCCCACCCCCCAGCTGCTTGTGCCACGGTGGGGAGCTCCCCACAGGCAATGGGGCAGCATGCCACGGCCACCCCCCCACGTCGCAGCATCATAGCCCAGCCACCTGCACCAACCCACCTCCCACCCCCACCCCGAAGCGAGCCGCCCCCTCAGCGCCCCCGCTGCCCGTCCTGTGGATCCCACCCAGCCCCCTGGCCTGCAGGTCACCCGGGCGCTCCCCCCGGCCCGGGCGCAGGGCGCGTGCGCGGCTAACTCAATTATTAAAGCCCTTAAGTGGCTGGTGGTGGGGCGCTGCCGGGAAGCCGGCGCTGCCTTCCTGTTCTCCGGCCGGTGACCACATCCCCCGCGGGGGGGGGGGGGGGGGGCGGGGGGGGGGGGGGTTCAGGGGGGGGGGGGGGGGGTCGCTGCAGCCCCCCAGCCTCAGGGGGTCACGTCACTGCTCCCCATCCCCCACGATGGCGCCGAACTCCAACCAAGGATGGGTTTGAAGGGCTGAGGGGGGCACAGACC